CTAAAAATATTCACCACTCCACCTTCGCGACTTCCGCTCGCTCATATTTCTTTCACATTCGACAGCATAATTTGGTAATAAACTTCGGATGCAATAGAACCGACACGAAAGTAATTGAAATAACTGATGTTGTTCTAGTATCTCTTAGTGCCGGTTTTTCCAAACTCTTGGTAAACTAATAGTTAAATTATACGTCTATCTTTGTCTAATTTGAAGGGAAAAGAAATACATATGTGATTTAACTACTAGTTAATTTACCAAGAGGTTGGAGCAACCGGTCATTACTACAACAAACTTTGCAATCCATAAAAATGATAATATTCTGTTAATTATAAAATAGAGTAAAATAATATAAATTATTTGTGAAATATATATCGTATATAATGTTTTCAAGCTTTATCCGCTATAACAAAATATTTAAAAAAACAGCGAATCTCCTTAATTTTCTCAAACATGATTTCTTGTTATCAGTCCGCGTAAACAACAAATTATCTGTAAACGAAAAATAATCTCAATAAGATACAAAATGCATGTTGGCTGCATAAGACACCGCGTTAGCGCGTCGCGTATTTCTGCTATCTTTAGCACATTTAAAAAAAAGAGTTGCTCTTACATCGCTGGCACAAAGACGAAACGTGTACTTATAATATGTTGTTAAACCGGCGTAATTCGAGCAAGCCAAAACTTTCGCAAAAAAAAGAGAAGAAAAACGAAAGAGAGGAACTAAATGAACGCGTTGTACAAGTGAAACTTCACGGGAAGACTTCCCCTCGATGAAGACCGGTTACGTACGCGATATTGAGCGACTTCAATGAACAGACGGGACGATATTGCGAGAGAAGTCGAATACGAGATCCTCGAGATATAACTGAACCACCGGTGAAATTACACTCAAATGTGGTTTGCGATGATCGCGTTTCATGATCTACGATGGATACATTTGCGTAACGTTGCCAAGAAAACGCGACGAATAATAGCAATTCTTTACGGTCAAAGGTCTACTCGCGAATGCTTTCAATTCATACACGGACAAATAAATGATGTTGCATTAACAAGATCAGTGTAATTGAAATAAAATCGTTGAAGCAACATCGATATTAACGAACGAGAAACATCAGATAGTTATCTTAATAATCTGGATATTCAGTTCAATGCTTAAAATGAAAACCCATAGCAAATACAATTGCGCGAATTATTTATGTTTGTGGCAGCCCGTGACGTTAACGTTCAATTAAAGAAAATTCATTTTATTTAATTCAACAGCATCTTTTTCCGTGCAGATAAATATAAGATTACGTCTCAACTTCCCGATCGATTAATTACACAGTTTGATTTTAAAGGGAGCTGCGTTCGTCAGCGGCCCGGTAGCATCGTTGCGCTCGTCTCTTCCCAGAAACTGTGTCTCGTGTCGCACGTTCACGTCCTCGAGCATATTAGAAATGGCACGGGGTAAAAGCACGCCGAATGCTCCCATGTCGGAAAGGAGAGACCCGCGGTTCGTTGACCCGCGACCACGTGGAGTAGCACGTGCATTCGTGAGAGATTTCGCGCGCGGCGAACGATCGTTAAGCGACTATCGCTCGGATCGGCTTGCGCGCGCTGGGAGCAAGGAACTGCTAATGCGACCGACGATCGTTAGAAATCTTTCACGTTTCTTACGCCACCAGGCATTCGCCTGGCCTAATCACTCGTTAGACAAGTCACGTGCTGCATATGCCACGCTGAATTCACCCTGCACAGTGACTTCGACAACGATGACATGCCGCGCGATACGCTCGCATTTACACCTGCACGAATATCTCGTGGTTCTTTCGTGAGATTATGCTGTATAGTACTCGACGGGATAAATGGTTAAAAAGAGCACTTTGTTGCGCACCGGGTGGTACAGGTCAGGAATTCCTTGAGAATTCCGTAGGACTGCTTCCTGCTCAGATCCCAAAACTGTACGTCGGATATGCTTTCTTTTATGTTTACCCGGACTGTTTTTCGCGAAAGATACTGGGTTGCGAAAAGAAGCGGCAACTGGCTTAGGGCGAGGAGATGGAAGGAGTGAACGAGATAAACGACGGGTTGTTCAACAGAGTCGGCGAAATTTGCGGAAAGGAGTAGAGAGCAAAACGAGAACCTAGTCAAGTTTCGCGTCGTTAGACGATCGTAAAATGCTCTCCGTAGCGAACAGTGACAGAGTCATTCTTGGTTCGCCTGCGGTTCCAAGAAGTCCGGTTAGAATTTAGGCTATCTGAATCTGGAACGCCTCGGTCGTTGGCCTTGCCTTCAATTCCCTGCCCGTGAGATTTTCGGACGCGACTCTGCGTATGCGAAGTGTTTGTAATGCCCACGTTAAAACGGAGCTTTTATCTAATGAACGTCTAGACCGGTTCGCGATCCGATCGTCCGAACGCTCGCGAATCACGCGACGATTTAGTTCCAGACCCGTGGAATGTGCGAAAGGAGAAGCTGGGACCAAAACTAAGGTGTTCGCCTTAGAAGTGTACGAGCCAAAGTGGAGGTTTTCAATTGCTCTGGTTTCTACCATTCTTGCTTTCCAGATGTGGACATATAAAATCGACATAACGAAGATGACAAACAACAAATTTGTTAATGTATATATAAATTTATTAAGTTAAATAATAACTTAAAACAGGGGGAACTTGTTGTCAAGTCAACTGGCATATTCCTTTAGTTAGAAAAATACAACGTTTCAACCCTAGTTTGGGTTCTTCTCAAGTAATACAAAGTGAGTCATCGTCATCCACAGAGTCAAACTAGAAGACTACAGGCACATCCGAACATTGCGGATGCTCGATTCGAACTGCAATGTCGCGATGACTCACTTTGTATTACTTGAGAAGGACCCAAACTAGGGTCGAAACGTTGTATTTTGCTAAATAAAAGAATATGCCAGTTGGGTTGACAAGTTCTCTGTTTTAATTCATAATCATCGCTTGTAACTATAAGTAACTTATTGCTTCCTCGTTAAATAATAACAAAACACTGGAAAGATTTTTAGAATAAACGGCAAAATTAGAGAGATGTAGTGCGTAAATATCTTACTTTTCATGTTTATAAGTGCTTAGTAAACTTCGTTTCTGATCCTAGATCATATTTACCTAATTTAAAGATGTCCAGCATGTACAATGCAATACTACAATAAACATAATAATTATTACAGTTTGAACATTGATAAATAGTAAAGAAAATTGATTATTTCGACAATACCGACTCTTCGCGCATGAAATCTTCCAAGGTAAAACTGACAAGATCTGCACCAAATCTATTTACAGGCATCCATGATTCATGCAGATCGCACTTTTATTTTAATTTCCCGTAATTATCTACGAATGAGACCGGTGCTGTATTTTGAATATCGTCAACTTGACTCGTGCGAGGATAACGTTTTAATTCTCGTGTTTTCTAATTCTAACTGCGACAGAGTAGCCATTAGAGGTATATCGCGATCATCGACAGCATTTCCATGCGTTTAACGCGAGCGACTACAAAGTTGCTATCGCACTGTTATAATTGGACGCCTTTTTTTTTCACGCCTCGAATGCGCCCGGACCAGAGCGAAGACGGAGGCTGCGGACGGGTCTCGGACACGTGGTGGAGACGGAGGGATTCGGAGGGAAAGGCACGGAACGATTCGGAGATAATATACCAATGTACTGAATTACGCGGCCGGCTACCGAATCATTTTGACCCACATCCGTGAATCGTCGTCGCCTCGAGGCCGGAGATCCGAGACGCCTTCTTCTCGACGTTGCCTTATCGTATCTGCCATGCTGCTCGTTTTCAGAACAGCGATAAATAATCCGTCGAGCGATTCGAGAGAGAAAAATCATGCCATATTTTGCATTATTGGTCAGGGGCGAAGGATAGTCTATGATAGACGCACTTAAATAAAGTGTAAAAGTTAGGCGGAAGACTTGGATGTAAAATATAGATAAAAGTATTTACTCTTCTATGTTAGAGTCTGCAGATCTCTTTTTTTTTCATGAATTATTTTGGAAGAATATCCAAGGAGATATATTAAAACTTTCTCTAGTATTTATTAGTTTACGAGCAAATGAGAATATTAGCATACCACATATATGACTTATTAGCACGTAATTAAAAAAAATGTTAATGGAACGTTTCGAACTACACGCTTCTTATTCATTTTGTTTCATTGCTTTCAATTTGCATGTGACTCTTTATTAGACTTTTCTTATTCTAATTCGTTTAATCGTCGCTTTTTATACAATTTTATATTTTAATCCAGTTAGAAATACTTCAGTTTCAAAAGTTAATTTATTGTTATTTTCATTCATTATACTAGTCATGACCTAATCTCTTTTCATATTATTACTTATTTCAATTCTTTGGCTAATGAAGACTGTGTAGTTTAAAACATTTCTTTTGGTAGATGATAATAAATCATATTATATGTGATACGTAACATTCTTATCTGCCCGTTTATTGTCCTACGATCTTTCCACATTGCTTCGCAAATGCGAATCTGACTTCAGTTCAGTATTTTTTTACTTTGATATAGTATATGACATATTATTTATAATATGTGTTTAAGTTAACAATATTGTTTCCTTGGAAGAGAAATATTAAACAATTCTTCAAATTTTTTAAATATATTTAATATACTTAAAAAACTTAATGTATCTTTGACTACAAAGATGCGCTCAATTATATGTACATATGAGAAATTTAATTATTAATTAAAAATTAAAAATTAAATTAAACAAGCTTCTTAATAAAATAAAACTTTATCTCTTAATTAATGTCTTTAAACAAAATTTCAGTCAAAGTATGATATTAAATCATCAAATTATGTAATTGAAAAATATTCTATGTAAGCAAATGTCAATTTAAATAATATGCTACAATTTTAACATAGGTCCTTTAAGATATAAAATCAATTAGAAATTAAAGAGGCCGTTTAGGACCGGGCATAGGTGTAAGTAGCCAGTTAAATTAAATTATTTAAGTGAAATTATTTAAGTAAATAATACGTCATTATACAGAAGGGAGTATTTTAAATTTCTTTTGTGTATCGAGATAGTTGACAATAAGACTTAATTTGTATTTGCTACGTGTACACATAGCTTCCTTTATGCAAATGCATCGTCTCAATGTACACCACAATAACATGCCGTGATAATTCTACCGGAACTTGCCACGGGACCTATTTTCTGGTGCTATTAGGTCGCAACAGTCCGCGGGAAGATAAGCTGCGCAATTTATATTCAGACTATGTCCGCGATTATAATTTGTATTTTCGACCTGAATAGTTCTCAAGGAGACCAGCAACGCAAATTATGACGATGATTATTAATGTTACTGATCGGGTGCCGAAGGTATTATAATGTTAATATGGTACTAAAGACATTGGACTGAAGAAAAGCCGAGAAAAGATGTCCACATTCCGGACCTGCGCGCTTCTTATTTCACAAACCCCTTGCGATAAACTTCGTTATTTGCATATCCGGTGCCTAAACAAATTCCGCGAGTGAGCGTGCTATGGTGGATAAGGGTTTCGTATATAAGGAAAGGAACGGTAGTAGACCTGCAGTGTCAAACTACGTGGTAGTCTAGCTCAAGACAAAGGCTCTCAATGACAATGGTCCCAAGGCAAATGGTCCTGCTGTTCGTAGCGATCGGCCTTAGTTTTGGACTGCCAGCTAAAAGCCATCGTGGAACACATGGTCACCCTATTCCGCCTGAGCCAAGATTCGACGGCGTTTTCGACCGTGATCACAATCACGAGGAAATCGGTAATTAAATTTCTGACGATAACCGCGGTCTTTTGCAGCTATCAAAAGTTTAAAATAAAAATTGATTTTACTCGGTGGCTTTACTCAAAATGGGCGTAAACATTGAAAAATGCTTCGCTAAAATCTGTCGTTATTTCCTCTTCTTCTTGCAGCTAATGACGTAAAATCCTGGAGCCCGAATAATCTGCAAAATGTTTGGGAATTAAGCGGTTTACACGAAGGTGACATAATGATCCATCCCGATAGTCCATCGTGGAAAAATGGTCTCCTAGATTCTACAGCACGATGGCCTGGCGGTGTTGTACCCTATTTTATACAAGAAGATGACTTTGGTAATTCTTCACTTTCCTTCACATAATTGCGACAATAAATAGTATTACTATAAATATTTTCTAACTTTAGTATCACAGATATTATCCATTATATTTAGAATTTACGAGCTCACTACGTTAATTGCAACGTTAATTTCTACCTTAGGATTATTTGCATCGTTATCTTTCCGAAAGTAGAACTGTATATAGAAAAAACCAAAGAAATGCATTTTAAATACGCTGTTGAAATCAACTATTAGCGACTCGTTATATATACCTCAAAAGTCGGTTTTGATTCGAGAGGTTCAATTTCTTTCTAACAATCATTAATACTCGTAGATCGGGAACAAATTGAGTTGATCAAAGAAGCCATGCAGGAATACCATGAGAGAACCTGCTTGCGTTTTCGACCCTACAAGGATACCGACAACGATTACGTGACGATACAGGCGAAAATGTCGGGCTGCTGGTCGCTGGTAGGTCGTCACGGTCATGGACAGGTGTTGAATCTACAGAATCCAGGATGCGTTCATCATGGCGTTGTCGTGCACGAGCTCATGCATGCCTTAGGCTTTTATCACCAGCAGAGCGCCGCGGACCGAGACGAGTGGGTCACCATACATTGGGAGAACATCAAGTCGGGTACGAACAGCTAATAATATTAACATCGTACGGTGACAATAATCTACACTGATTTCTTATCTCTCTTGTACAAAAGACCGCGCGCGCATATGCGTATTTATTTATTATTGTGATAATTTTTGACGAGCGTTTGAAGTGATCTTTGAATGCTATTTGTTGAACACTCGAAAGCTATTCGTATTCGAGTCAAAACGATGTCAACTAACGTATTCTTGGAATGGGTGCTCTTGTATAATGCGTGAATAAAATTTTAATTAACTTTTGCAGGTAAAGAGCATAACTTCAACAAGTACGACAATCGCACTGTCACCGATTATGGTATCAGCTACGATTACAAGAGTGTCATGCACTATAGCTCCCACGCGTTCTCTAGGAATGGAGAACCTACTATTACGCCGAAGGTAATGATCGTGCGGCACTCGCAATATTCCTATTGATTTCGGTTTGCTCTCAATGTTTATGCTATTTCGCAGAAAGAGAAGGTGCAACTTGGTCAGCGAGACGGACTCAGCGAAAAGGACGTGGCCAAAGTACAAGCGATGTATAAAGAGCAATGTGGCGACAACGGAGGCAACTCTGCTGAATCCTCCGAAGAAATTTCTATAGGATGGATATTCGATTAAATTTGCGCTTTTAAACAATCAGATTTCAAAATGTATAACAAAGCATGGATATACCAGCAGATATTGACATAGTACATTTCCATGTTTTTAGATTTAAATGCATGTATTATTCTTTATAAATGAATTTATAAAAATACCACGAATATTAATATTTCTTAAGTATAAATATCAGTCCAAAAATTAAATATTTAATCCTGAGGCATCGTAAGACTTATCGAGTAGTAATTGTACTGTAAATTGGTCCCTAATTTGCTTATTTCATCCTTAACCGACAAAACTTTTCTAATTGTAATATGTTAACTGTTTTAATTCATTTACAGCATCCTCTGCCGCCTAAAATAATATTTTTGTTGTATTATACAAAATCGCGTAAAAATACTGTGTCAGTGATCAACTTACATGTCGGACATGTTCATCTTCGTCCTTGATTAAGCTTTCTATGAGATCTCTTAACGGCTTGTTCCAAACTTGTTGTAACGCTCTGCAGCAAAATCTACCCAATAGTCTGATCATAGTACACGTCCTTGCTCGTAAGATAGTTTGCCGATGACTGAGAAGTTTGTTGAGCTGCTCCACCGAAGCTCCTTCAAAAAATTCAAACATGTGAATTTATTAAAAACATTTTATCTACGATTTAAGTGACGGTATTGGTCGTTGGGGCAAGCAGGAGTATATTGAGTCACGCAACTCAAAGAGACTTGTAGAAAATAATTTGCAAATTCGGCTCACCGGGAATTTTTGTACGCAGAACGACTTGTTCCACAAGCTCGGCATTTTCAGGTTGAGATCGTAGAACGTTATTTAAAATAGCAACGAGGTCTGCAACGACCCTCGCCTTCCTTTTTTCTAACGCTAGTAGTTGCTGTAGAAGTGGCACTCCATTCACGATATAAATGGCGTCACAAAACTGCATGAGAAATTGATTTTCAATGTAAACCAATCTACAAAGGACTAGCATCGCGCATTCGAGTGCTTGAAGTTCATCGGCGGATAAAGAAGATGCTGATCTCGTTTTCACGTTCACTGTGTTTGTTGCGTTCAACTCGTTGTCGGAACGTTCTGACATTAACAGTTTTATAGCATAAACGAGATTTGGTACTACTCTCACGTCTAGATAAACTTGCTCGATTTTCTTAAGATTTTCCTTGCTGACTGACACGGTGAACGGTAGCGATAATAAACAAGTTACATATTCAACGACTCGACAACCAGCTGCCGGATTTCTTAAAGGAGAAACAAACACCGAGACGCAATTTTGTTGCAATAGTGAGTCAATTTCACCCTCCATAACTTCTTCCATTGATCTTTGTAAAAACGCAATCCACTCTTCATTCTCGATAGGCCTTTCCACTGCCCTCGGGTCCCAATCCGGCAATCTCGTATGTTTTCCAGTCAGGTTTCTCTCACCGAATTCCTGTTCGTAATCCATGCTCAAGCGGCTTTGCTTGCAATCGCCATCACCATGCACAATTTGATCTACGTGGGAAGGTTTTTCGATTTGTTGACCTACATTGACTCCATCACCTTGGGCATTAGCATGATACATTTCCTCATTCAACTGTCGTACGGAATGACTGTCGTCCGTTTGCGTTTGAACAGGTTTTGAGTGATCGTCTAGTATTGGAAAACTATGCTGGACGTCTGCGCTATGTGGACAGTCACTCTGACATAAAGCATGATCCGCAGCTAGAAGATCGCTTCTCAAAGACGCCCTAAGACTGAGATTTCCTAAGAGTACGTCAATACTAGCGCTGGAATCAGTGCCACTCGGCTCGCTACGGCGTAATGCTTGACAGTGGTTTAGCATATGATGATAATCACAATACGCAGGAGACATTAAATAGCCTGGTTGTGAAATGCACGTTCGTTGCCGATACTCGTAATGTCTTCTCTCCTGTTCTTGTAATTTCTTTATTGCTCTCTCCACAATCCTATAAGAAAACATTTTAGTTATTCGTATGTATATATCCTTTTTGAAGAATCTTCTTTTTAAGGAATTAATTAAAATTAATACTATACTTGGATTGATTTGCAGTGCGCATAGCTAAACTTTGTAATTGTTGCTGCTTTGCTCTTGCTTGGCTTGCAGATAGCGGATTTGTAAACGCAGTAGGTACAGCACCGCCTACTATTATAATCCGATCTTTGACAAACGGATGTTGGAGAAGATCAGGCCAAGTTAACCGTTGCAAAGGATTCTTCTGAAGTAAACCCTGAAATTGAAATTGACAGCCTACTTGCAATTACAATAACTCAATATTGTACAATACTCACGACCAATGATACAGCAATATCTTTTTGTTAATTAATGCGAATCTCTACGTGTAATAATTGTATAATATACAATTGCAATGTATGTACAGCAAATATAAATAGCAATAAATATCTTTACCTCTAAGAAGCTTTTACAAGTTGAAGAGATGAAGTCTGGCCACTTAATTTCTTCAAATCTGATCAACTTAACTAAGTGCAATATTGAGTTAGTTTGAAATGGCGGTGCCCCGACCACCAATTCATAAACAATACAGCCTAAAGACCTAAAAATGAAATTAATTGCAAGATATATTTTCTGTATGAATGAGTCAAAAACAATATACATTTAAAATGTTTATGTGGCCGTGCGTGCATTTACCATAAATCAGCGTTATGATCATAGGGATATTCCTCTACTAGTTCTGGTGCCATGTACAACGGTGTGCCTTTGATCGAGGTGAGTACGTGTGTGCCAGTACTCATACTTCGAGCAAATCCGAAATCACATAGTTTAGCTATACCATTCGCTTCCAGGAGAACATTTTGTGGCTTGAGATCTCTAATGACATTAGCATAAATGATTATAGTTACAAATCACAAGCCATTCTTCGTGCGAGCAGATACAAACCTGTGCATTACCCGATTTGAATGCAAGTAATAAAGCGCAGATACTAGATCGCAAGCTATCACCTGCGCCCTTTCCTCGGACAGTCTACCTTCCTTGGCCAGTATATCATACAATTCCTTATCTGCATACTCTGTCACAACCACGATCTAATTCAGATATTTTACAGAATATCTAAAGATACTGTCTCAGGGCCTGAGCAGAATGGCTGTCTTATATTCTTAAGACAATGCTTTATGTTTTAAATCTTTATCTTGAAGTGACGCACAGTAACTGTCTTGCGTCTCTAAGAGTCTATCCAGACCAACTTGTATAGCGCAGACACGTATATACATAAGGAATCTGATTGGACCATAAATGCGCGTGTAGGAAATAGACCAATCCATTTTTTATGCATATACTTATGCACCTGTGCAAGTTTATCTGGCTAGACCCTAACAGCACAAGACAGCCATTCTCTGCTCAAGTCCTTACTCGTAAACATGATCCTTTTCAAATCCGACATACTTCAGATTCTGTCTCGAATGAGTCTATCATCTGTACGATATTTGGATGCTTCAGATGACGCTGAATCTCGCACTCTTGACGCAGACTCTTGAGCTCTTTGTATGATCTGCCACACTGTGGAGCAAGCACGGGACTGTACGTTAGTCACCAAGTAAAGCAAGTTATTTATAAATCTCTTCTGTCTCATAGCCAACCTTTCTTATCATCTTGAAAGCCACGATTTCACCGTCCGAACGTTTCCTAGCTTTGTACACCTGTCCGAAGGATCCTTCCCCGATGTGCTTCAGAATCTCGTACTTCTTCGACTTAAAGCTTTCGTATTTCTTCATTTCGCTCAAGTGCTGGAGACGATTAATGTCAAAAAAATGCGCTTTTTGTATCCGCGCGGTGTGCGCATGCGACCAAAACGGAAACTCCACAACGCGTTAAATATAGATAACTAAACGCGGAGCATCAGTTAAGCTGCAAATACACAGAAAAAAAACAAGACTTAAGACGTGTAAATCTGAGCCAAGACTTTGCAGAGTTGTTTAAATTAAAAAATGACTGCTTACATTCTCGACCGTGACTGGTCGCTTCCCTTACATCTCAAGTTTTTACTGTTTAGGTTTTTCAGTGTATCATGGCTCTACCCATAGACATAGTATATCTAGACTGCTGGTTGGCGGAGTGGGGGTAGAGCTCACGTAGAAAAGGATGCACTCTGTTTCGTGCATTGAACGTTCTCTCTCGCACACGCGAAAAGAGGGGATAAGGGGAAGCAGTTACTAACCTGTGCGAGAGAGAACGCACAGACA